GCCCGAGGAGGCGCGCCCGCCTCCCTTAGCAGATCCCCTATCCGGCTTCTCATTTTCAACCGGGGAATCGTCTCGCGTTCCACCTGCATGGAAAAGGCCCAGCAAATCCTATCTGTTGACTCGGAAAGGCTGAAGAGACAGAACTCTCTGGATGTTTGGAGTTGAAACTATATAAGGGATGACGCGGTGGCGCCACCGACCCAGTACCTTTATCCACAGAGCAGCCCACTCCGCTTCCGTCTTTCTTTCGCTCGGTTGCGTGTTAGGTAAGTGAGCCCAGGAAGGCTGCGCGAGCTAGGGCGCCGGCGGAGCCCCGGCCCCGGGCCCTGGTGATGAACAGTGACTCCGGGCGCACCTGGAGACGGCGGGCGGCGGGGTCCCGGCCACTGTGACAACAGGAGCGGGCGATGAAGCGAATGGTGATCCTTTTGCTGGCGCAAGGTCTCGCCTTCGGTTTGTAAAAAACGCAACAACCGTGAAGCGCAATAAAATGAGGTATGCCTGTATGTAGACAACAGCGGTGTGAGTTTACATTGCATTTCATCCTTTTTGGTTCCTCACGTCTCTAAAAGAGGATGGATCCTGAAGATCCTTCTAGGCCTACTTCTGTGGTCGCATGAATTAGGAGTGGGCTTTTCTTTTTTTCCCTTTCTTTTTTCTTTTTCTTTTTCACAGCAGGCTTGTTCAGGGAAACATCATCTTAAGCAGAGAAAAGTGTCAGAGTGAGACCTTTACTCGTTCTGCATCACCTAGGAGGCTAAACTGTTGCTTTAAAAACATAAGCATCGTACAGCGGTTTCTATTTTCCAAAGTTCTTTCTATCAATTAACAATCTTGTGAGTCACAGACAGCAGAGTTATTTTTCCCTTCATCGTTAAGGAAATGAAGGCTTGGCAGATTGTAGGACTTACCCGTGAAGTCAGGACTAGCTGCCAGCCGAAGCAGGGCAATGCATATAGTCCGACTCCTGTTCGCCTCCCTGCCCGTCCGCGTGCTTCCTAGTGGCAACGCACTGACTGGCATTTTGCCTCTGTCACTGTAGGAACACCTCGGTCATTTATGTAGACTGTGTAGATGCGCTATGAAAGCAAATGCGGGCGCAGACTTCTCTTTGCTCTTCTCGTTCAGATAATGACAGCACTGTTTTAAGGCAGGAGTTTTGACAAATGCTTTACAATAACACAAACAACTTGGTTTTAGGGAAAAAGTGGTTTTTGAATAAGAATGTTCCTGGCAACCTGGAAGGGAAAATAGGTACTATTGGGGGGGGGGACCTCAAGTTCTTCCAACCCCAGGGAGAACAGCTACTAAAGGGATTGGGGAGAATTTTTAAAGTGAACATTAAAGAACTTTTATGTTTTGAGGGAAATTGTACAAAATTAAATCAGACGGTTAACACCCCCCAAACCTCGGAGATTTCCCTCTTTCTTCTGCCTTCACAAGAAGATGCCAGGACTTGCTTGGGTCCGAGGAGCAGGCAGGCGGTAGGACGCTTTGTTAGCACAGGCGCAGCTCCGCGGGGCAGAAGGGATCCCGGAGCCCAGGAGTGGCTGTCTGTGTCTTTGATTCAGTAGCACTGAACAGAAGGAGGCTCACTCCGCCTCATCCCCGTCCACCCTTTGCGGCTGTTCCTGGCGAGATTCAGTGGGAAGCGGAGAGCGATGACCTGGAGCACTGCTTTCTCACCAGACAGATGCCCTTAGATTGGTGGCAAGCCACTCAACAGCAAAGTTCTCTTAACGGTTCTTCTTTTTTTCTCTTTCCTCTTCTCTCCCTTCCTCCCTCCCTTCCTCCCTCCCTTCCTTCCTCCCTTCCTTCCTTCCTTCCTTCCTTCCTTCCTTCCTTCCTTCCTTCCTCCTTCCCTTTTTGTTTCCTATACACAGGGGGTTAGTGATAGTAGGGGATGGACACAATTTATTATAACATGTTCACATTTTTGTTTTTGGCCTTCAATACTGATCAAAGCCTCTATAGGCTGAAAAGATGTTTTGCCTGAATTATCCAGCCTTTTGCCTAAACTCAGTTTCACTTGGTGATGAAGATCTGACAAAACCATATTCATGATGATATATTAAAGAAAGAAACACATAGTTAAGTCTGATTCTGATGGGGCAAAAACATCTTAAAATAGCCAAGGTGGGAAAGTCATCCTATATGTAATCTCAATTTTAGTAAATAATTTGTTTCATATTTGTTCTTAATTTCTGTGATGGATTTCATTTCATAGATTTTCAGAGAGGGGCTCTTGATAATATTTCTGCTCACATGACATAATAATATAAGACATGAACAACACACCATTCAGCCCAGTATTAAACTGATAGTGGCACTAAGAAATATTAATTGGAATCCATGATACCACCTGTGTGGATGTATTTGATAACTAGAGATATGAAAACAAAGAGCAAACAGAATGCTTTCTGGTGCTAAGAGAATCATGCAATAAACATATTTAGTTGAAGCAATGTCTCCCTGGTTTTCTTGAAGTGGGCTCAATATATGTGCAAAAATAATGAATTGATTAAAATACTTTATATTATGTTTGTTATATTCTTGGAATCGCATTTTAAAGAGGATATTGACAAGCTAAAATTCATCCAATGTTCAGGGAGCTGGATAGTAAAAGGTGTGGAAAACAACAAATAAAGGAGCATGAGCTTTTAGCTTGGAGAAGCAAAGCCTTGGAGAGGGGTGGGGGAGGGGAGACTAGCTATGGTAGTTGTATCCCAATGGTTGCACACCTAAGTATCAAGGGGCATATCTATTTGGGCACGCTAAGAGAGCAGGACCAGAACCAATGGGTGGTTCCAGGAAAGCAAACTTTTGAACAACAATTAAATACCTTCTACAGGTTGGGCACTGTGTTGTCTTTCAATATAACAGGCTGACTCCGCAAAGCACTGCACTTTTTTCACCAGAAAAGTTTGAGCAGAAGTTGGAAGGCAAAACATTAGGAATATTCTATTATGGATTTCTTCCTTAGGGGGAGACTGGGTTGAATACCTTGTGTGGTTCCTTCTAACCTTTAAGATACTAGTATTCTATCATCTTTTTATTGGAAAGGAAATATAATTTCCAACTTATCAAAATTACTTGTCATCTCACTAAGAATAAGATTTTAGGTCATACACTCTAATTTAAATATCTATATCCAGAACATTTAGAAAAGTCAAGAGACACACAAAAAAAGAAGAAAAGTATATTCTTCATTAAAGAAATCTAAAAAACCTCATTCTTAAAAATAAAACAAAGTGATGTTCCACTGAGTTCAGGACAAAGATGTAGTCAGGAAAGAATCGTTAATGTTAAAAGAGACATTTGACAAACTCTAAGCCCTTCATTTTATAAGCAAAGAAATTAAGATTCAAATATAATGAATATCTTGCCAAGGTCAAATAGACAGGGGCAGAATTAAGACTAATGGCCAATTTTCGTGATCATACCTTACAACTAATTCATGTTTTGATAAAAGTGACAGTGGGGCTATTGTCATTGTATTATGTGGAGAAGAGGATTTTGCATAGTAATTTTAAATGTAAGATTTAAAAAGATTTAGCTGGAAATTATCTGGTAAAATCTTAGATCAGTTTGTGAAGAAACTTCTGATTGAGAATAACCTGAAACTTAAATTGGCTTTCCTAGGAGGTACTGAGTACGTAAGTCCTGTTTTCACTCAAGCCTACGTTGAATAACCACTTGGACTATTTCAGAGAGGTTCATATAATCAATAGGATGAGATAGATGATCTCTAAGCTACTTCAAATCTCGATATTTTTATTCTAAAAATGTTGGCCTAATCTCCTTTAATTGCAGATGAGGCAACCAAGGGCTGAGATGTTGACTTGCCCAATGTCATACAACCTACTAGTTTGGTGAGTTATAGAATTAATACATGTAGAAGTCAGAGAAGTGACCTTTAATAAATATTTAGGAGTGAGATGAAAATCTGAAATGATTCTCATGTTTTCTCTCCAATCATATTCTCTCCATTCTATTTTCTGTGTTTTTAAAAATAAAGGTTATTTTCATTAGAAACCAAGAGATCAAAGTTTTTTAAAAAACTTTATTTTCATTGTTGACACGATTACAGACGTCTAATTCTCTCTTAGAATTCCCAGTGTGCATACCAGATAACCTTTCCTCTATGGTTTTATTTATAATAATTCTGGGAGCCTTTTTTTATTACCCTCTTTATAATATTGTATAGCCACAATCGGATTTGGCATCATAGCCACTGGCTAGATGGCTTGGCTTAGAGACTTAAATTCTAATCTTACTTTTGCTAATGATTGAAATACGTCTCTTACTTGGCATCTGAAAAATAAGGAGAGTGCCTTATAAATCAATAAAGAGCGGAGAGGGGAGCCCTAGCTGGTTTGGCTCAGCAGATAGAGCGCTAGCCTGCGGACTAAAGGGTCCCGGGCTCCATTCCGGTCAAGGGCACATGCCCAGGTTGCGGGCTTGATCCCCAGTAGGGGGTGTGCAGGAGGCAGCCAATCAATGATTCTCCCTCATCATTGATGTTTCTATCTCTCTCCTCTCCCTTCCTCTCTGAAATCAATAAAAATATATTTAAAAATAAAAGTGGAAAGGGCATGTGAGATAAGAGATATGAAAGTACCTACTGTGAGATCTTGGGTGGAAGTGCTAGAGGAAGAGAATGAAATACAATATACATCTGAAAATATCAGTTTGGTTCTTGACATGATACTTCATAAGAGTATTGTAAGAACCTGGTTAACTAAAAGGTATTGTTCTTGTGCTCCATCACCAGTGTTACAGAAGGGTTATCGTGTCTCTTTCCAAGGAATTTTTTTAGAAGTTCATCTTATTTTCTCTTTGTCACTGTCCTCCTGGGTGGACTAAGAGGACATGCGGGTGCTGGATGAAACAGGAGTCAAAGGTTTCACTGAGGAGCTCCTATTACCGCCCCTCACCTCGCCCACCCACATCCTGCCCAGCATGCTGTTATCCCTGACAGACATCGTTCTGTGAAGGGAGGGAAGTGAGAATTCAAATCCATGGGAACCTTCTTAAAAGATAAACAATTGCCTGTTTCCAGTACAGAATCTACCAGGGAAATCCAGGATTTAAGCTTCCAAAAATTTTTTTAGTTTAAAAAGACACACCTTATATACCTCTGAAACAAGAATAAGCAAAAGAGTTGTTTTAAAATATTGACTAATATAACCCTTGGCGATTATCTGAATATTTGGTGCATCCATTCTCTCCCTAGCCTCCATGGCTACGCATAATGGAGTAATGAAGTCCACTTGCCAATGTTCTAGCCAGAAGTTAAAGAACAGCTAAATAGTCTGTCTTCTTCCTCAGTGCTTGACTTGGAATGGGAAACGAACTGTAAAAAGCAATGGGAATAAGGGATAGAAGGTGGCTCCATAATTTACAAGCTAAAAGCAAAAAGCGAATACGTTATGCTTGCTCTGATCTTTTTCCTTCTGTTTTTTTCTCCTTCAATTCCTAAGTTCTCTATTTTTAATTTAAAAATATTTGAGTTTTATCATGTACTTGCTTTGTTTGTGCATTGATGTGCATTGTTTGAAGAGTCACAGAATTCTGCAAGGGCTATTGCAACAGGGGAGCAGTCCCCTGCCCCTCCCTATTCTCTTCACACAGGCAACTAGTCTCACTAGTGTCTGATTGTTTTGGCATCCACTTTATGTTTCCAAATTATTTCACTGAACAGATGCTTTTTGGTATTTTTATTTTAGGAATTATCTAGTATTTTATGTTATAAAAATAAAGATTTAATTCTCTTTTTCCCATGCTCCTACCACATATGTGCACTCTCTCCATCTCTTTTTTCAATATTGTAATTTTGGTTAGATCATAATTATGACATGTAAGTGTAATTCTCAGCTAACTGAGGTAATCAATTATGATTATTTTTCTTGTTCTGCAAGACTTTTTATTTTTCTGGGAGTTAATACTTGTCTTGTTTTATTCCTAATTTTTAATGTATCTACTAGTAATTTTACTCCAAGCTCTTCACCATTTATCTATATCCTCCCCCACCCCCCCAAGATATTCATGTGTTGCCCTGGCCAGTTTGGCTCAGTGGATAGAGCCTCAGATTCCAGTCAAGGGCATGAACTTCAGTTGCAGGTTCCTCCCTGGCTGGGGACCTGGTC